GCTACCACGCCTGGCCGATGCTTTGTTAAAATTGCATCGTCCGTAGCTGAGAACCTGATAAACTGTGGCAGTAAACACTGAGATTTTTCATTGCATTCAGGTTAGAAAGTCAGTAAGTCAAAAGTTAAATAGAAATTTAAATAGCTTAATTGAAGTTAAAAAATTTTTGGATGGACTCCAACTGCAAATTTTCCTCTGTAACTTTCCTCTGCAAGTTATTCCACATGCACTGGACTGGTGTCTTTTTCACATCTGTCAACTGCTGAGGCAATGAGTTTTTGCCAACAAAAGAAAAGTCAGGGCCAGCCGAGGTGGCTCACACCTGTAATCCTAGCACTTTGGGAGGCTGAGGCAGGCGGACTACCTGAGGTCAAGAGATTAAGACCAGCCTGGGAAACATGGCGAAACCCCGTCTCCACTAAAATACAAAAGAAATTAGCGAGGCGTGGTGGCGTGCACCTGTAGTCGCAGCTACTTGGGAGGCTGAGGCAGGAGAAATGCTTGAACCTGGGAAGCAGAGGTTCCAGTGAGCTGAGATCACATCACTGTACTCCAGCCTGGGAGACAGAGTGAGACTCTGTCTCTATTACAAAAAAAAAGAGTCAGTATGAACAACTACTGCTTGGCAAGGATAAACCTGGGCTGCTTGTTTTCACTACTGAGGGAACCTAGTGTGGCCCTAACTTGCTGGGCGGGGACTCATTGTCAGGGGAGGTGCTGAAGCTGGGTGTCTACAGTGCGGAGCTAACTCGGAGCTGGGTGAGGGAGCAAGGTCAGAGCGGCCCCCTGCGGTGCCCTTTCACGCTCAGGTAGGAGGCAGTCAAGGTCCCCTCTGGGCATCTTCCCTGCCAAGTAAGTGGTTTGGGAGGCAGCCCGGCTCTCCTGGGGAAAATACCCGTACAGGTGATTCAAATGCAGTTGTTTACAGGCCCCGGGTTTAATTCCGTCAAGTACTGCATTCGTATCCCATCGTAGGAACACAAGTGTTTAACTCTGTCAAGGTTACGTAAGAATGCTTAGAATAAGTGATGGCTGATATCCCAAGTGAGGTTCAAGTTCTTTAAGAAGCTCCTTCTGACAGGATTTTACCTGGCTGGCAGCCACACCTTCTTCTCCCACCCCTGGGCTGGTCCTCAGTCGCTCTGTAACTCCTCCTCCACTCACCCCATAAAAGCCAGAGCGTCCCCCAGGCCATGTTCCTGGGGTGTGGTAAGAGATACCAGTCTTCCTCCCCATTCCTGGCTCCTCACGGCCCTGGTTAGTCTTCTGTTAGAATGCCAGGTGCGTGAGCCTCAGGGCTGCTGGGCCTCACCTTCTCCTGCCCTCCTTCCACTCCATTATCCCCCTCTCCCTTGCTGACAGTGGGTCTTAAGACCCTCCCAGGAGAGGGTCCCCCCTAGATCCTGGGGGAAAAAATGCTGGTATCATGAAGCTTCCATAAAACCCAAGAGGACATGAAAGCCCCCGGCAGCTGAACACGGGGGCTTCCAGGCCCCTTCCCCATATCTCGCCTTACGTGTCTCTTCATCTGTAACCTTTCCAGGGTCCTTCATGATAAACCCGTAATGTAAGGGTTTCCCTGAGTTCTGAGTCGCTCCAGCAAACAAATCAAACCCAAACAGGAGGCCAGGGAAATCCCACCCTGAAGCTGGTGAGCCAGAAGTTCCAGAGGCCTCAACCTGTGGGATGTAACACTATCTCCAGGAGGCCACGGAAATCCCACCCTGAAGCTGGTGAGCCAGAAGTTCCAGAGGCCCGGACTCACCAGAGCCCTCAACCTGTGGGATGGGATGTGACACTATCTCCAGGTAGGCAGTGGCAGAACACAATGCGGGGATGCCTAGCTGCTGTCCGCTGCTTGGTGTATGGGGAAAACTCCTATACGTTAGATCACAGAGGGCTTCCTCTGTGTTGAGAGGAGAAGAAGCATGTGGATGGAGAGTTTTTCCCTGTGTAGTCCCCAAGCGATAGACAGGACAAACTCTCCTGGCTCCAGAAGTCCCTGGCACACCACTGGCCTCTGTACCCAGACCTGTTCCTCACCTTTCAACACTAGGACTTCTTCATTTGAACATCTCAAACTTAACATACCCCAAATGGAAGTAATCACCTCTCCTCCAGACCTGCTTCTCTGCCTCTTCCCTCAAATGGCACCCCTGCACCATCCTCCCAGAGCACCGTCCTCCCAGAACACAAGCCAGCAAACCAGCGTCACCCTCACTTCCTTCTCCTAGGTCTGTGTACAATTAGTCACCAAGACCTCTGGATTCTCATCCTGCTCTCCCTTGTCTGTCCCCTTCTACGCACACACGCTGTGCTCAGTTTTGCCATCTCCCTGCCTCTAGTCTTGGGTGTAATCCTGTCTCCAGCATCCTCTCTGCTGCAGGTTGCGGCCATCACTCGAGGACACAGATCTGACCATGCCACTTCCTCCAGTGGCTTCCCTGTCCTCAGGATGGTGCCCAAATGCCTGTGCATGATCTACAAGGTCACTATAAAGCAATGTGTCCACCGCTCAACTCTCTCTGCCCGATGCCCCTTTACACCCCCCTTATCTGGGCAACAGGATTGCCCTGATGGCCCAAGGCTAGGCTGGCTGACTTCTCTCGAATCCCTTGCCAGTTTTTACTTAGCTGCCTGTCAGGTTTAGGAACTGTGCTGCGCCTTCAAGTGGTAAACAGGTACTGCGTGTTTCATCCACAGCCATACCCTCTGGAGCACAGGCCTGACACAGAACAGAAACTCAAAAGCATTTACTGGAGAAGTGAATAATCCTGCGTAAATGCTGCTGATGAATCTAGCTCCCTGCAGGTCAAAGCATTTCACAGATCCAAATAATTCTCTTGAACAGAAAAATTAAGATGGTTGGAAAGGCTAGGTGTGCGGGTGGCTCACACCTGTAATCCCAGCACTTTGGGAGGCCAAGGTGGGTGGATTACTTGAGATCAGGAGTTCTATATCAGCCTGGCCAACGTGGTAAGAACCTGCCTCTATTAAAAATACAAAAATTAGCCGGGTGCTGAGTGGGCGCCTGCAATCCCAGCTACTCGGGAGGCTCAGGCAGGAGAATCACCTGAACCCGGGCAGCGGAGGTTGCAGTGAGCCGAGATTATGCCATTGCACTTCAGCCTGGGCGACAACAGTGAAACTCTATTTCCAAAAAAAAGAAAAGATGGTTGGAAAGACCTGGGTTGAAACATATACACACACTCCCCAGCGGTGTTGCAGTACCGACAGTACATTTCTTCTAGAGCGAAAATGGCTGACTTTATAAATATCGTCTAAGTATCAGAATCATCTGAATCCTACCTGGAAATGATATGAAGTGTAACTTTAACAGGCACTCAAAGATGTGCCCAGTAACCTTTGGCCAGGACTGTTTGCCAAAAAATACTTCTTGCTTGCCCAGAACTGACTTGGGTGTCATCATTAGGTTAAGTTATGAAATGGCAGATTATGAAATGGCTTCGTTTCACTTGGTGGGGGGAGCACAGATAAAGAAATTTTACTTAGACCTTCTCAAGCTTAGCTACTTCTTGCGTGAATTAGCTACTATTTTTTAGCATCGCAGTTTACTCTTAAACGAAAAACAAACAGCAGCTCAGCTCAGGCATGCAGGGACGAGGCCACAGCTCACTCCTCCTTCAGGTCTTAACAACTTGACGGAATTTATAGACGGTCTTTTTCCCCCGATCACTGTCACTGAAAGGCTGCTGCCTAAAATTCAATCACGGGCTAGTCCGCCTGCATGCTGCGCTTTTCCCCACTGTACTTCAATAAAGCGGTCACTGCAAGCGGAAACATAAAAGCGTGATGGATATAGACCGTCTGCTCTGCTGTTTAATTGCACACAAATTCCTTAACTTTTTAAAAGCCATGGAAACATTCTAGATAAGGTGCTGATCTCTAAACTGGAACAAATTTTCCTTACACAAAGCTCAGGCACATTCAAGGGGAGCGAGGCCTGAGATGCCGATGCTACACCACCTTTCTCAAAGTGTCTGAGCTCTGGGGTGCTCGAGGACCGACAGCCAAGAACCACAACATTTACACTTTGCCGGGAAAGGAAACGCCTCTGTGAAGGTGTGAAGAACCAAACGCTAAGCGTTTAACGTGAAAACTTCCTGCAACTCGAAATCCTCAATGGAAACTGTCGAATCCTCACAAAGTTAACGACGAGTTTCTACAAAGGCTACTGATTTCAGGAAACGAATGTGTAACTAGTCGCCTTAAAGCGCTTCTAAGAGCATCCACCACGCTACTACGAGACGCTATTTATTCAGAGCCAAGACCCAAGCGCCACCGCGGATGAATCCATTGCTGGCCACGGCGACCCTAGGGAGTGGGTCCTAGGATCCTGCTGGAGGGCGGCCGCTGGGCCAGCTTCCTCTCTGATGACTGAGGGGAGGCCAGGCTGCCTGCCAGGGCGGGGAAGGGCCCTTTCCGCGCTTACCAGGGTGAGGGCCACCTCCAGCATGGGGGCGAGGGCCAGGGTGCCGTGGAAGAGGGGGATGCAGTCCACGAAGAGGGTGTGGTGGGCGCCCGGGCCGCCCAGGGGGAGGTGCTCCTTACGCGGCTTCTGCTTCTCCGCCACGAGCAGCCCGTTGACGGCGCAGTGCGGGTACTTGGCGCCGTGCAGCACCATCTTGCAGTAGGCCTGGGTCGTCAGCTTCACCCCGGGCATGCTGACCCGGGAGGGCCCCGCAGGCCCCTGGGCACGCGGTTGAGGCCTGGACCTGCTGCCCGGCTGCGCGGCGCCTCAACAGAGAAGCGGGACGAGGCGGCGACAACTGATGGCACGGCCGCGGGCTGGTGGGGGCCCCTCAGTCCCGGCCCCGCTCGGGCCTCGGCTCCTGGAAAAGGGACCCGCGCCCTTAGGAAGCCCCAGCCTCGGACTACACTTGCGCTTCTCGCCCGGCGCCGCCGGAAAGCGGCCTCTCCAGTGCCTGCCGGAAAGCAGCTCGGCCCGGCATTTTACGACGCTGGCGGCGCTCCCCTCTTTCCGCTCCACTGAAACCTCCGCGCGGCCGGGTGCGGGCGGAGTCTTCCTCGATCCCGTGGTGCTCCGCGGCGTGGCTTTGCTCTCTTCCGGTCGCGGGACACCGGGCTAGAGGGCAGTCGCGGCGGGCAGCGACGGCAGGTGAGGCAGTGGGTGACCGGTGCCGTGCAGCCGGGCCGGGCCGGGGCGGGGGCCGGGAGCCTTCGAGTCTGCACGGCCGCAGCCCGGTGCCGGCCGGAGGCACGGGATGGGCCTTCGAGCCGGGTGACATTGAGGCCGGCCCGCGGGGGCTCCAGGCTCTGGAGGCCGCTGCGCGGCGGCCTTTGGGCCGCCAGGAAGCGCCCGGTCCGGCTTACCCGGCCGCGCCGCGTTTGCGAGCTGACCTCGGGCTCTGACCTTGGAGCGCCCGCTGGCCGAGGGCGCCAGCTGCGGGGAGCCGGGCTCGCGTTCTGTGCCTGCAGCCTCCTCCCCTGCTCCTTCAAACGGTCCCTGCAGCCTCTCCCGGGTTTCGCGAGGCTCTCGGGCGGCGCTCGGCTTCCCAGCCTGGAACCTGCCAGTTGTTTGCCCACGCCGGGGATAGGCCGGAGGAGAGAACCTGGACGCAAGCGTTCAGCCCTGACGTCATGCTTGGTTATTCTGCCCCAAGGATGGTATTTTCCCAAATCGCTCTCCCCGGTCTTCCGAAGGGTCGATTTAAAACGGGCGGTGTAAGGTAGACGGGCCTGAATCGAGGAAGGCCCTGGAGAGGCGGGGGTCTTCTAGGTTATCCGCTCTCTTCAGGGATTGGAAGTAGACCGGGGTGTGCTGGCAGCCTTCTCCAATTTCCCCTTCTAGTCTGTATACATACGGTATTAGGTTTTAAGTAAATACTCAGTTCATTGTGATGTGTGTCACCGTCCCGGTGAGCTGTTACCTCCTCCCACCAAGCCCTGAAGAATGGAGCTTGTCACGGCAGCACAGTGCTTTGATGCTCTCTAGGTTTTTCAGTCACCTTGTTAACATTTTTCCTCCTTGCCTTTTTTTTTTTTGAGACGGAGTGTTGCTCTTGTCGCCCAAGCTGGAGTGCAATGGCATGGTCTCGGCTCACTGTAACCTCCACCGCCCGGGTTCAAGCGATTTTCTCAGCCTCCCAAGTAGCTGGGATTACAGGTGCCCACCACCATGCTCAGCTAATTTTTGTATTCTTAGTAGAGACGGTTTTCACCATGTTGCCCAGGCTGGTCTCGAACTCCTGACCTCAGGTGATCCGTCTGCCTTGGCCTCCCAAAGTGTACTGGGACTACAGGTGTGAACCACCGTGCCCGGCCTCTCGTTTTTTTTTTTTTTTTCCTTGAGACAGAGTTGCGCTGCGACGCCCAGGCTGGAGTGCAATGGCACAATCTCTGCTCAAGCAATTCTGCCTCAGCCTCCCGAGTAGCTGGGATTACAGGCATGCACCATCATGCCTAGGTAATTTTTGTATTTTTAGTAGAGGCGGGGTTTCACCGTGCTGGTCCGGCTTCTCTCAAACTCCTTACCTCGGGTAGTCCTCCTGCCTCTGCCTGCCAAAGTGCTGGGATTACAGGTGTGAACCACCACACCCAGCCTCCTTGTTTTTTAAAAAGACCAATGTTGTGTTAATTGCCTGAAGCACCTATATGTTATGGCAGTAGATTTGTAATGAAGCTCCTTAAAAGCATGCCAGCTACTAAGAAAAGCCTCATCCTAGATTATTTTGTGATGAGTCAGTAATAAAGAATGGATCATTTGTGTTGGGGAGAAGCAAACAAAAGAATTTAGGTCCAAAATGCTCTGGGGCAAAAAAGAAGACTCATTCCTGGCTGTTTGCCGTTATTCATAGAGAAGGTGTACATTTTTATCTTTCAGAATGTTGGCTACCAGGGTATTTAGCCTAGTTGGCAAGCGAGCAATTTCCACCTCGGTGTGTGTACGAGCACACGGTAAGTGTGACTTTTCTCACTTTTAAATAGGCTGAGCTAATTTCATTTTGCTCCTGCTGTGTATAAGGCCCTTTGCTGGAGTTTTAAAGACCTTAATTCTGCTCTTAGGGGGTCTTCAGCAGAGATACAGATATTCCCACAGGCTTGGTTCTAGATGAAGTAATGTTTACGAATCAGATTGAATCTCTTCTGGATCTCTGGTTATACTGCTATGTCCCCCCTTATCCTTCTCTTCCTTTCCACTTTTCCAAGCTTCAAACTTTACCCCTTTGAAAAGATCTTCTGCACCAGAACTGACCTTAATGACCTCCCTCCCCACCTCACCCCCACTGCTTCACATCTGTTTATAGCGGCAATGAAAACAAAAGAGCCTGGACTTAGCCTGAGCTGGGTTTTCATCTCATTTCTATCAAGGACTGAAGCTTAGGAATCTGTTTCCTCACCTGAAGTATATGTAGAGCTTAGTTCTGTGTCTGGCATACAGCACATTTCGTTTTGCATGTATCTGGCATCTATCTACTTTGTATGGGGCACTGTTAGGCACCGAGAATGAAAAGAATATGAAATACACACTCTTTCCATGAGGCTGTTTGCCTCATGGAAACATGAGGAGGAACAGAAGGATGAAGGCAGCGTTTTAATTACTAAGAGATGGCTCTGGGTAGAAACATTTGCCCGGTGCGGGGTTCACGGAGGGCTTCTGCAGAGAATCTCCATGGTCTTTACATTGCTTCAGTAAAGTCTATGCCCTGCCTGGTTAGAGCTGGTCTTGCCTGCCTTTCCAGTCTCATTACTTCATAATGTACTCAAAAACCAAGAATTGCTATCGGAACTGCCCCTCCCCACCTGCTCCCTGCCCCAGCCCCCTGGTCTTATTCCATTTCTCCAGTAGAGCTCCAAGTTGTGGATGGTCGCTCCTGTCTAATCATTCACCCTCGATACTAATGTGCTTTTAGAACAGCCTCTCCTCACCACCCTTCTGCAGGAAGCTCCCTGTCACCTCACCTTGCTGGGGGCCTCCTGAATGCGTGTCTATTTGAGTATCGCTGTCTCAGCCTCTTAGAGTGTAAGCCTTTTGAGGCCAGGGACCTTGCTGTCTTCCTCATTGCTGTATCTCTAGCACCTAGGAGGCAGATGAAGACGAATTGCAGGCTCTTAGACAAGTCTTGCCTATTAAATTTTAACTTATGTGAATCATTCATGAATAATACATGAATCTGTTCTCAGCAGAAGATATTACAGCCGTCTGGAATACCATCAGCCATCACTGAAGTCCGCTGGGATATTTGCATGGCGACACATTTGAGCGAGGGGCGCCCAGATGTACCAGACCTCCCCAGGGGAGGCTCAGCAGAAACCCATCCATGTGGAAGCAGTGACAGACATTCATTAGAATCTGGAGTCTTGTTTTTCTCTATTTTTAAAAAAATGTTTGGTAAAGTAACCATTGCCTTCCCTTCATTCCTTGGGGGACCAGGCCTGAAGCTCTGAAGAACCCCTGAAACCAGGAATTGGCTATTCTTATTCTGGAAGATGCAATTTTAAGGTTTGCCTGCTTCAAGGTTTTGAGGGTTTACATCATTACAACATTTCTCCCCTCAGTCTTCCTGTCATGTCATTTACGACAGCTTTACGAGATGCAATTCATGTAACAGTCGCCCATTTTTAAAGTGTAGGCTTCAGTGGTTTTCAGTATATTCATTGAGTTTTGTCATTAGTACCACAATGAATGTTTGATTCTAGAACATTTTCATCACCCATATTTACATCTATTTTGAATAACTCGTGTAACTGAGTGTTTTAAATTTTAGAAACTTTTGGAGGGTGCTAAACTTGATAAAAATATTCGGTATACAACTGCTCTTTTTAGTTCACACATCACCTCATCGAATCAGGGCTTTAAAATTAGAAAGTAATCCGGCCATTTCCACCTCATGTCCCTTAAATCCCACCTCATTTTTGGGACGAGGTCAGGTATAAGTTTGAAAGTATCCTAGTCATTTTCATGGCTAAGATAAACATCTAGAGAACTCTATGTGTGACTTTGCTTGAAGCTTAACGTGATTTACTAAGAAGAAGATTTGGGAGATGGGAATCACTGGGACTGAGCTAATGGAGGGGAAGCATTGTCGCAGGGCATAAGGCCTCCAGATCAGTATCTAACAGTTCTTGCAGGTAGGTGTGGGACAGAATTGAGAAACAGCTTTTAACAGGGGAAGACTCACTACAAGCAAGATACTCCTTAGCTGTCTGATTTCTGGACTTCTTTCCTCGTGATACCGGCTGGTTGGAAGGCACTAAAATCACAGGCAGATAGAGCAGAAATCCTCGCGAGGTTCTCCCAGCCTCCCGTGTGTGGCGGCTTGAAGCTTGCTTTGTCAGAGTGTGAGTGGATTATGTGTATGTGAGTATGTGTGCATGACTTCCATAAGGAGGCACACAGCATTGTCCTTGTTCTGTGGCTGAGTGCACTCTGCCGTCGCATTCAGGCTCTAGGTCTGCCCGGTCCTGTGGACCTTGCCTCTTGGTTCCTGCCATCCACACATTGCCAGTGCCCTCCTGCTCTCTTCTTTCTCCAGAGTACTTTTGTCTAAACATGTGATTTGCACATTATGTTTATTGTTTGTTTGCCACTCTTAGAATGTTAAGTGCCACTGGGCAGGAATGTTTGATTTGATTTGTTCACAGATGAACCCAGATACCTAGAGCCCTGCCTTGCCTGTAGAGGGTGCTTGGTAAACACTCTCTGAACGAGTGGCTCCATGGTCCTCGTTTCACAGAGCTGGCACGATTTCTTCCTCAGTCCTGGTTGGACACAGGTTTTTCCTGAACAGTGCCTTTGTTTCTGAACGGGAAGCGCTTTGGGTGTTGCACTGTTCCTGTTCTTCCTTGTGGTTTGAGTCCCTTGCAGCTGGGCCTCATTTTGACCAGTCTCCTGTTCAGGGCAGGGGATAACTGTTAACATAGGAAGAGCTGCCCCCGGCCACCTTGGCCCCAGGGTTCAGTAGCAGTTGCCCCCGGTGGGTTTTTGTTTGCAGTGATGAAAAGTGCTTCTGTTCACCCTCCAGCACAGTCCTGCACCTGTTTCAAACAGTGGCTGTGACCCCCTGAGATGACTGAGGGTTTCAAGGTGTGCACACGTGTGTTTGTTTTGGTTTTCAGAAGTATCACCTTGTTTGTGACTCTCAATTTACATGGATTCAAAGATTTATCCAATGTGTTTTTCAGGAAGTGTTGTGAAGAGCGAAGACTATGCACTCCCAAGTTACATGGATCGGCGTGACTATCCCTTGCCCGATGTGGCCCATGTCAGGCACCTGTCGGCCAGCCAGAAGGCCTTGAAGGAGAAGGAGAAGGCCTCCTGGAGCAGCCTCTCTGTGGATGAGAAAGTCGAGTGTGGGTATTGAAGGGACCCACAGGCGAGCCCAGCAGCTCCCGGAAGTGTGCGTGTGTGCGCCTGCGCGAGCGAGCGAGCCTCTGCTCACTTCTGGGCTGTCTAGAGAGCAGTCTTGCACAGTGGGGCTGCTGTGCTGGGTTTCTGGGTCACTGTCCCAGGGCCCCAGTTTGCGTGCTCTGCCAGCTGACTTCTTTTGCTTGGCTCCCTTCTCTGTGCTGGGTGGGACATTGTTTACTGGAAATTATCGAAAGAAACTCAGCAAAATGCTTGCTGTTCGGTGTGAGAGGAGCATGAAAATAACGAGATGGGATAGACCCTAACACTGTCACTCAAATAAGAAATAATTTCGCAATTTTAATTTCCACCTAAAGCAAACTCCATGCATCCTCTCCTCTCCTTTGCCCGTCACATGCCTGCGCAGCCACATGTGTGACGCACGCATGTGAACGTGATGTGGCCCCGGCTGCCTGTCCTTCACCTCTGGGTTTCTCCTTCACAAGTGTGGTTTTGGGGAGAAGCGGTTGAACCTTGCAGAGGAGGGAGCTGCCGACCCACTTTGTGCCTGTAAATGGCTGTCCTCTTTGCCCGCAGTGTATCGTATTCAGTTCAAGGAGAGCTTTGCTGAGATGAACAGGGGCTCCAATGAGTGGAAGACGGTTGTGGGTGCTGCCATGTTCTTCATCGGCTTCACCGCAATTCTTATCATCTTGGAGAAGCGCTATGGTGAGTAGAGATGGTGGAAAGTATGGGGTGCCTGGACTGGGGCTCCAGCCTGCAGTACCCAATGGTGGGCTGTGGGGGAACCCCCCACCTTGAGGCCATGAGATAGGGATTCCATTCCAGAGTTCATCTCAGGACTGGTTTCCGGGCCTTGGCGGCCTGCAGAATGGAAGTCATGGGGGTTAGCTGATACGCCAGCATCCGATTATTCATCGGGGGGCAGACTCGGTTGGCGGTGAAAGACTCTACGTACAGCATACCGCATTTTCAGTTGCGGTTATACACTCACCAGTCAGTTATCAAAAGATGACTTTGTGGAGGTTCGAGCACGAAGGGGACTCTGTCATTTAATGACATGTCAACTGTCGTGAGGACCACATCTCAACAGCCGGAATTTGGGGCTTCCGACCTGATAGCTTCTGTTTAGGCATTGTTGGGTCGCGCACGCACTGTCGGCTCTTCATGGTTCTTTTTGTTCAGGCTGAGCAGGTGTTTTTGCATTCTCAATAGGTATATTCTCGTACTTTTGGTTTGAATGCGGACGTGGGTTAGTAACAGACCTGAGTCTCATCTCCCAGGTGACCATGGGCTGTCGTTAGACCTTGTTGTCCAGAGCCTTTAGAGGGACCTGCTTTTAGCTTACCCCATTGCTAACTTTTTACAAACAGAGGGATAATTTTAAATCCCGTGGTTGTCAGTGGTCAGAAATAGAAACCGTGTGTGTGAGCGGTGTTGAGTGGCAGGCGGCTCTGCTGACCTGGGGGCTGCCGTGTCGGGAGAATTTCACCTGGAAGGGATTGGCTTAGACACAAGCTGCTGGGACAGTCTTGCCCATAGCCTCGTCTCGCCCTGTAGTGTACGGCCCCCTCCCGCACACCTTTGACAAAGAGTGGGTGGCCATGCAGACCAAGAGGATGCTGGACCTGAAGGTGAACCCCGTCGATGGCCTCGCCTCCAAGTGGGACTACGACAAGAAGGAGTGGAAGAAGTGAGAGATGCTGGCCTGTGCCGAGCCAGGCTGTGTCACCTCCGTGCGACCCCATGCCTCTGTACTGGGAACCTGTTATGCCAAACAGTACCACTGCTAATAAATGACCAGTTTACCTGAAACCCTTGTCATCGGGTCTTTCATGAAGCCTGCTTGAAAGCCAAGTAAAGCAGTAGGTGTCTGCCAGGGGTCTGGAGTAAATATACTTTGGGTACACATGAAATAGCAAAAATCAAGTGTCTTAAATTGCATAAGGAGACATTTACAAACTGAAAATATAGAATCCTTTGATGTGGGGAATTTGAGGTTTTTGGCAAGAGATCTTTGCATGAGTAAAATCCCATTATAGTGGGCACACCGGCGGAAGTTACCACACACCAATTTTTTTTTTTTTTTTTGGTGAGGAGTCTCTCTTTTATCGCCCAGGCTGGAGTACAGTGGTGTAATCTTGGCTCACTGCAACCCCACCTCCCCAGTTCAAGTGATTCTCATGCCTCAGCCTCCTGAGTAGCTGGGATTACAGGTGGCCGCCACCATGCCCAATTAATTTTTGTATTTTTTAGTAGAGACTGGGTTTTGCTGTGTTGGCCCAGCTGGTCTTGAACTCCTGACCTCAGGTGACCCACCTCCCTCGGCCTCTCCAAGTTCTAGGATTACAGGTGTGAGCCATTGCACCCAGCCTAGGAACCCCTTTTCTTCTGGGGCTGTCCCTCCCTCCCTGCAGCTGACGTGTTGGTTGGGGTGGACAGCCCACTGAGCTCTGACCGAGTTGTGGGTGCTGGCCCATCTGCTTTGGCCTGTCTGTAGCCTACTCACAGCTCTTTGACCTAAAATGTAGTCACAAAGCTGATGTCAAATAAGGTGGTCTTACCAGCATCATCCTGGTCCCTGGCACGCTCCCTCCAGGACTCGTCTTGTTACCCGTCCCATCCAAGCACCAGTTCCAAAACTGGAGACCCTGTCTGGAGAAGAGAACAAATCTTGGAATATAGCATGTGTGCTGGGAGTAGCAGTGACGGCTGGCAGAGAGGGTTGTCCTGCCAGCACTGGTGGGCGGGAATGCGGCCAGGGGGCCCAGCCTTAGCCAGGAAGGGACATGGGGCCCTTAGAGCTTGACAAGAGGAAGAGCACAGGACTAGGACCCTGGCTGGCCGGAAAGTTTGGGCTAAGTTCAAAATCAAGAGCAGGTCAAATACACCTCAATCAAGCGTCTCCTCCAGTGCAGTAGAAACGCCCTTGATCCCATGTTTCCAAGGGCCAGCTGAGCCGCCTGGGAGAGTGGGATCGGGGGCGGGGGCGGGGGAGGGGGGCGTGCTACAGGGCCTTGTGAAGTCTTGCCGTGGGGACTAGTGTGAGCCCCTTGATGGCTTAACTGTAAAAGCCCACATCGCCCTCTGGGGGATGTCATTTTCAGCTCCTTCCCTGGGGGTGGGGGGTGGCAGCTGAAGTGCTCGACCTGGGCCCCCATTCTTTGTCTGGCTCTGCTGACCCTTCAGCGAGCACTGGTGGAGCCACAGCCACCTGCCCTGGGCCAGGAAGCAGGCCAGGCTCATCACCACCCGCATCTCCCTCAGGACAGGCAGGGAGAAAGGAGCTGTCACCCCAGGATGCAGGCAGAGGTGTCTGCCTGTGGGACTGGGCCTGCTGCACAAGCCCTCTGCTTTTAGCCTGGAGTGGCTCCGAATGAGTCCACTTGAGAACAGTCAGGCTTTTCCTGGCCTTTCCCTCCTACTGCTTAGGAACCCGTGCTCTCGACCTTGCTAAGAGAACTGCCATTTGGCCATTGGATTCAGTTTCTAAAACGTGGCTGTCTGCCCTGATCTCCTTGTCCTCCTCATGCTGGAAAAAAAAAAAAAAAAAAAAAATCCCTTTCCTGCCATTTTAGTGGGAATTTGGGAGGCCGCAGGGGTTCATGGCTGGGTTCAGCCCACAGTCCTTCATGAGTCACGACCCACATGCCATGGTGATGTGATGCTGACTTGATGACCCCAGGCCTTCACCTTCCCAGGCTCACAGGGAGGCAGACAGCAAGTGAAACAAAGGCACAGAGGAGAGGACCCAGCAGGGCTGAGGGAAGCGGGGCAGGGAGAGAAGGTTATGGGTGGGGTTGGTCGGGCAGCTGTCACTGAAGAGGACATTTCAGCTGAGATGTGAAGATGAGATGAGACACTCAAGCTGAAACCTGAGGGGAGGTTGAGCTGCCAGGTGGACACAGCACCGAGCAGGCAAGGCAGGTGCAATGCGGGAGGCGGAACGGGGCGGGGTGTGTTCAAAGGACGGCAAGGCGACCACCAGGCAGAACCACTGTGGGGAGTGGGGGAGGCAGAGTGGGGGCAAGGCAGGAGCTCTCAGATGCCAGGACACACGGACTGTGAGACACAGGAGGAGGTGGAAGACCGAGCCCTTTCTGGGTGATGTGTGGGGTCTCATTTTACCCCAGCCCGCCCCTCCCAGGGTGCTCGGGGAGACTATCGAGGCTCTTTATCAAGGCATGAAACTGGAGCAGGAGGACTTTGAGCCAAGCAAGCCCTTTGAGCTTAGCTCACTGGAGGCCAGAGGAGCCCCTGTCTCCCCAGGCCCAGGCCTCAAGGGGAGATCCTCAGAGATGAGCCTCCTGACCCGTCCACACACGGCATCTCCATGTGGGGCCATGAGAGACCCCATCCCTCAGCCTAAACTTGGAGAGCCCCTTGCAATTTAAAATACATTGTCCCTCTTTGTGACTCGTCTTCCTTCTTAACTCTGCTTACCTTCTTCCCAGCTGGCAGTTTTTTACCCTCCAGAATGTAAAAGTTCATGGCCAGGCATGGTGGCTTGTGCCTGCAATCCCAGCTACTTGTGAGGCTGAGGTGGGAGGACTGCTTGAGGCCAGCAGTTTTTTTTTATTTTTGAGACGGAGTCTTAGTCTCTTGCCCTGGCTGGAGTGCAGTGGTGTGATCTTGGCTCAATGCAGCCTCCACCTCCTGGGTTCAAGTGATTTTCCTGCCTTAGCTACCAGAGTAGCTGGGATTACAGGTGCACACTACCACACCTGGCTAATTTTTGTATTTTTAGTAGAGATAGGGTTTTGCCATGTGGGCCAGGCTGGTCTTGTACTCCCGACCTAAGGTGATCCACGCACCTCGGCCTCCCACAGTGCTGGGATTACAGGTGTGAGCCACTGTGCTCAGCCGAGGACAGCAGTTTTGAGACCAGCCTGGGCAATATAGCAAGACCCTGTCTCATAAAAAAAAAAAAAGACCGCTTTTAAAAAAAGGATTACCTGTAGAGGGCAGGACAACAGCAGACATATTAACAGCCGTCCTAGGAGCTGGAAGACAAGGGAGCAGTGCTTTCCTCTAGATTCATAGTACCAGCTAAGCTCTTAACTAAGAAGAGAGAAAAAATAAAGTTATTTCCAGGCAAAGATGGAGAGTGTCTGCCACTACCAAGCCCTTGTGGAGAAGAGTGCTAAAGGATGTGGCCCAGCAAGAAGAAAACTGAGCTCAAAGAGCAGTGAGACGCCAGGAGAAGTGGCGAGCAAAGGAGCTGAAAACTGTGAAGGCAAAGTTGCTCAAGCACTGGCTGAACACTGCAGTCAAAACAACAGTGGCCAATTGGTTTAAAACGCAGAGGGGAGGGGGTTCAGGGAAGATGGGGGCAGAGTGTGTGAATCTCCCTGAATCCCCATGTAAAGATGGAGTAACTGATAGCAAAACTGTAAACCCAATGGACAATACAAGGCAAGGAGATATCCCACAAACCCCCCATGATCTGCAGAATGCAAATAGGTGGGGACAAGTCACCTGTGCCACAGCCTGGCACAGCATCTGCCTTGGTGCAGCAGGATGCAAAGGGAAGCAAGGGGACAGCAGATGAACCTGGGGGACAGGGGGTGGGCCTGGGACACAGCAGCAGTGTACTCCCTGGGAAGCACGGTGACCCTCCCATGAAGCTGGGAGGCCACCCCTTGCAGAAACAGATGGTTGCAGGGCTCCGCAGTGGGTCCCAAAGGGGCTGGAGCGCTCTCTACATCCACCGTCCTGGGCTGCTGTCTGGGGCAGGGACCCACGCTGCAGAGAAACTGCTGGGAGTGGAAAGGGACCGACCAGAACAGGCAAGGAAAGGACAGGCAAGATCCAGATTCTCATGGGGAAAGTGAAGAGAGCCTGAAATCCCAGAGGCCAGGCCCACGCTTTTGAGCCTCAAATGAAAACAACCCCCGTGGGAGCTCTTGTTCCACTGCATGGAACAGACAAACCACATTTTTGTAAAATATACCACATTTCCTTTATTCATTTATCTGTCAATGGAAATTGGGTCGTTTCTGCCTTTTGGCAAATCACGCTGCTAGGAACGCAGGTACACAGGTATCTGTGGGAGCCCCTACTTTCGGTTTTTTTTTTTTTTCTTTTGAGACGGAGTTTCGCTCATGTTACCCAGGCTGGAGTGCAATGGCGCGATCTCGACTCACCGCAACCTCCGCCTCCTGGGTTCAGGCAATTCTCCTGCCTCAGCCTCCTGAGTAGCTGGGATTACAGGCATGCGCCACCGTGCCCAGCTAATTTTTAGTATTTTTTTAGTAGAGACGGGGTTTCACCATGTTGACCAGGATGGTCTTGATCTCTTGACCTTGTGATCCACCCACCTCGGCCTCCCAAAGTGCTGGGATTACAGGCGTGAGCCACCGCACCCGGCCTCGGTTCTTTAGAGCGATCTCGGCTCACCAAAACCTCCACCTCCCAGGTTCAAGCAATTCTCCTGCCTCAGCCTCCCAAGTAGCACACCACCACACCTGGCTAATTTAAAATTTTTAGTAGAGGCGGAGTTCCACCATGTTGGCTGGACTGATCCACCTGCCCCAGCCTCCCAAGGTGCTGGGATTACAGGTGTGAGCCACCGCGCCTGGCCATTTTTTTTTTTTTTTTGTATTTTTAGTAGAGAAGTGGTTTTACCATGTTGGCCAGGCTGGTCTTGAACCCCTGGCCTCAGGTGAAAGTGCTCGGATTACAGGCTGAGCCACTGTGCCTGGCCCATAGAGCAGTTTTATACGGAATTTTTTGGAGAAACTTCTGAACTGTTTTCCAAAGTGTTCTACACCATTTTACATTTCCACTATCAAGCTGGTGTGGTTCCTGTTTCT